TATACAACCAGAGGAGTCGCCCCCTGGTGGACACTAGAGAGAATGCAAGTTTTGAGACACTTCCTCATTGGCTTCACTCTGCAGAACTGGAGGTTGTCGCCTGATTATTACGCTAACAAGCTAACTGTTACATATTAAATGTTAGTATGTTGACACTGTGCTAACACTATGCTACATTAGCATACTTACTTTATCCTTCATCTTAAAGTGTACTCAGTGAACCAGCACCCAACAAATAACAAGCACACAACAAGAATCCAGCATAAAGAAATAACGCTCACTCCACCTCCTCTACTCCTGCAGGTGTCACAATCAGACAAAGTGTCGGCCCGATCCGTGTCCTCCAGGTTTTGATTGTACAGTCATTGGCGACACCATCCACTGCGACCCGATGCCTCAGGTCAGTCGCAACTAATTGCTTATTTACTGTGTGTGTGTGTGTGTGTTGTGTTTTAAATAACTATTTCAGGAAATGACATTTACATCCAAACGGACCTTCAATCATTCTCAATCCATCACTCGTCCTGTGTCTCTTTCAGGTGTCTCGGAACATCGGCTATGTGGAAATCATTGAGATCAGCGCCAGCGTGCTCGGGTTGCTCTTCTTGGTCGGCGCCTTCGTTTGCATCCGGAAACGTTACGTTCAGCAGAAAAAGAAAAAGCCCGTCTGTGTCCAGGACTCCAACGGGTGAGAGCAAGTGTTTGAGTCTAAAGTCAAGTTATATTTCTATCAGGCTGTGGTGTTATTATAACTTCTTATACACTTTATTATTTTACTCTTGTTGTTGTAGTTCACTTTTTCTATTTTAGTTTACTTATTTTACTAAATGTATACAGCTGGATTAACCGATTGTTGGCCACTTAGATGGTTAAAGGATGAACAGCAGCAGCAGCTCAAAACCAACCGATGATAGCAGCACTCATCATACGTGTAATAACTCTTAATATTGGACTAAAAGTGAAACACTACTCTTCACACCCTCAGCTACTTCCAGCCCAGTCTGACCAAGAGCCTGAAACCCAACAACCAGGAAGACGTCCCGATAGAGATGAGCTCCATCAACGACCTCGACCACACGCCGTTCAGGTCACTTCGCCCTCGCAGCCAGATCATCTCGTCAGGAGGCGGGGTTTCCTATGCAAAGATGCAGGGGCCGGTGGTGTGCAGCGTTGCCCCAAACCTCCTCGACAGGCCACCGTCCAGCTCCGACAACGACTCCATCAGGAAGAACCACTGGAACATGGACTACGAAGGTATTTGTGTGTGAATTTAGGAGGATTTTTAAATGTCCCATTCAGAACATATCGAGCTCACAATTCTCTGAAAGGAAGAGGATCTTAGTCAAAGATTGGGTGTCGTTTTAAAACGCTCAACATCGCTTTAAATATCTTGCTCCAGTATTGGTTAAAGTTATAGTTAATATTTCACTGTAAATAAAAGCGGGAACGTACTGGACAATCTCAAAAGGGAAAAACAGACAAACAAACGGTAATAAACTGTAAACATTCTGTGCGATGCTGCAACGCCACACTGGCTGAACGACTCAACCAAGGTAATTGTGAACGAGTGTCGACTTGTCAGGGCGGAGTGGTGCATCATGGGAGAGGCAGAGGACTGCCTGTAGAGCCGTCCGTCAACACACGACGCTGACTAAACTCTGGAAGATGAAACATTCATTGACGAGATATATGAATATATATCTACATATATATCTATAGATAGATATATTCTATGCTGGTCTCCTTCTATATTCTGTAATACCCTCCCGTATTGACCATCCTCTTTGCTCTGTCTCTCTCTCTGTCTCTCCATCTCTTTCCTGTTCCTCCTTTTGTTTTGTCTCCCTCCCACCCTTTGAGTTTCTTACTCTCACTCCCCCATCTCTTCTTTTACAGTATGTTGCTCTCACACCTTTTTTCTAGCTTCAGTCGAACAAACACCTGTGGACAGGTATCATTAGATATGTTAAAGAGAGAGAATTAGGACCGTTTTTAGAGTCCAACTTTGGAACGCTTGTACAAAAGAAAGTGAAGACGGTTTGAGGATAAGAATAAAAGAACATGGTCTCCCTGCTGCCCTGTGTCAATGTTGTTCACCCTCTTCTTCTCTCATTCTCTCCCTCCTTCATCCTCATCATCTTCCTCCTTGTTCCCTCTTCATTATCTCCCTCTGGTCCATTCGTCTCCTCCTCCTTCCTTCCATCACACTCACTCCATGTCTCTCTCTCTCTCTCGCTCTCTCTCTCTGTCTCTCTCTCTCTCTCGCTCTCTCTCTCTCTCTGTCTCTCTCTCCTGTTATGTGCAGCATATATATATATATAGTTATATAACGGATCAATATGCTGTGCTGCTATGTTGTGGAGACGAAGATGAAGAGAGGCAGATGAGGTGTTCGTCATGCCGTCGCTCCCCGGGCGACGCTTCCCTGACAGGTCGTTCATCTGCTCGACCTTATCGGAGGATAAAGGACTCGTTCCTGTAGTCGGTATCCGTCCCGTGGTTAAAGGGAATCCTCTAGGCCCTCGACTACAGCTGACATGTTCCGTGTGTCTGCGATGCTCAAAACCGGTTGAAAGTTCTGGAGTAAAGGTGGTGTTTTAGTTTAATATATTGAATAATGAGCCTTCGCCTTCTGTCACCATCAGTATCACTGGATTGGTGATGAATCATCCAATCACAGAGCTGCAGCAAACTGAAGCGATTCATGAGACGGATGCTGGAGCGAGAAAGAGAAAAGAGATCGTTTGATTTGGTTTTGTTCTAAAATAGAAAAGATTTTACTTTTCATATCACGCCTCAGTTTATTTGCAGGATTCTTCATCATCCGAGCTTTTTATTATACTACTTGAATACTTGTTAAGTATGTGCAGGCAGATGAATGTTATTCACCAACATATTTATTCTCTATATCCTTTTGATAAAGCATCACTAATGCTGTAATAGTCAGATTTCTGTCTCTCGTGAATGTTTCAGTTATTTGCAGCAACAAGTCTTCACGCTGAAGTGGAATTTCTTTAACACATCAGGATTTTCTTAAAGTCCTTTCTCTCTGAGGCGGCTTGAATACCAGATGTGTAGGGACAGAACCTTAAAGAGAAATACCTCAGACTGTGGTGAATGGTGACAACTGCAAACATTCATCACTCTGCAGGTAAAATACAAAAAGACCTTTACAAACACAAACGATAAGTTTGCATCGTAGACTATTTATCACATTTCATGAGGCCTTAAATTACTTCTCAGGGATTTATGTTCTTATTTATAAGAACTCAGTTTGTGAAAGATGCTTAAGTGAACAAAGTAAGTCTGCCATTTGTTATGAATGTTGCCGCCTGCAGTGGTGAGCCGAGACTCGGTGCTCTGCTCTCTGCAGCTTTAGAAAAAGAACGGCTCTTGTTCTTTTGTTCTTCAGTAAATGAATTGAAGTGTGCAAGACTTTCTTTAGTAAATGTAGTCACTGAAATCGTTCGGTTAAGCGTTCCTTCCTGTCTCATGATGGCTAAAACCCACAGAAAACTGCAGACAAAGATGCACCCGCTTCAAATGTTATCGGACTCATAGATACGTGAAGTTATCATCTGTTCACACGGACGATCACGATACGAATACAAGACAACACCGCCGTATTAAAACAGAGCGCTGTCATACAGTGAACGTTTGTTTATCTACAGAAGTGAGAGTGTGAGTTAAAGGTGCAGATGGGAGCCGTTCTTATCTCACTAATATATATATATATTGATTAACAATCATAAGACATTATTTTAAAAGCTCACAGCTGAAGTTATTTTTTTATTTAGTAGTTGATTTTTAACCTGTAGAATAATAAGCTTTAGTTATTTAACGTGTTCTCATTGTTTTAAGGATCATTGTAACTGATAATAGTAACAACAACAACAACAACAACAATAATAATAATATTAACAATAAGTGTAGGCTTATTTTAACTGAAGTATGCTACCTGGGCTGAATAATGTACTTAACTTAAGTTACTGAACAAACATACTTATTTTAACCCAAACCACAATCAGTCCCTAAATCTATTCAAGTAGTTTAGTTGCCTGAACCTAAACAAGTTATGTTGTTTCAATTCAAAACGTGAAGGACTGTAAGTGCAGATCAGCCCAGTTTTAACTCGGCTGCAGGCTGTTAGTGTCCTTCAGGATCTGTTTTAAAGTTCTTTTGCTCGTTTACTCTTAATGGTTTGGGACCACATCACTTTAACAGTCACTCTTCCTTTTTAAATCTTTTCCTTGTGCCTTTCTTTCATTGCTTGGTTTTATCGTGCAGTATTTGCATGTTTTAATTAGTTATTTAGTTTACTATTGTTATTGTTAAAAACTGCGACTGCTTGCTGACTCTCCTTCTCTCCCCCACATGTCCCGTCTGCCTCCACTATCACTGTCAAATACAGGCACAAAATGTCCCCAAAAAACTGCCACCATTTCCCTTTCACAACGTGAATGTCTGAAGCTTTAGAAGTGGTGGTGATAACAACTGATGAAGTAGATATGCACCAGTAGGTTTATTGTCAGAGTTGTCAACAACTAGCTCTTTTAGGAAGGTAGATGTTGATGAAGTTTGCAGTATATAAATAATATTAAGGATATAGAGTTGGGGATAGGGAATGATAACAGCATTAGTCCTCTGTGCTTGTTCTTGACTATTTATTGAACTGTGGAAACAACACGAGCTGAACTCCTCTGATGTCTGTTAAGTCTTCAGATGTAAAGATGGCGTCACTTCTTCATCTCTTTAAGCATCCTCTTCATCATGCAGACGCTCTAATCTCTTTCTCCCTGTCTCACTTTGCCCTCCTCCTCCTCTTCCTCATCTATTCTTTGTGCCTCTCTTCCCTTCACTACTTTTGTCAGTTGTCTCAAACTTGTTCAAAGCAGAGACTTTTGATGTCAAGTGTTCTTTAATCAATATCTAAAGCGTAATGAAACTTCATCAAAACACTTTTGTTTGTGAAATTTGAAAACGTCGACAACAATTTCTTCATATTGTTTGGTTTTTTTTGTACAATCAAATGTTCAAACCCCAAAGAGATTTAATTTACATTCATATAAAGCAGAGAATTGGTAGAGCAAGGCAAACATTACAACCATTACTCGCTTTTTATCAGAGCTGCCGATCAATTATTAATCATCTAAACGTTCTAAAGGACGACGTGTGTCACAGCCACTTTGAGAATAACTGGGTTTATGTCCATCAATGCATGCATGTGTGTGTAACCAGCATGGTTACTGCTTCCCCACATTGAACAAAGCTGAATTACAAATGATCCAACCCATCAGGAAGAACGCTGCGTGTTCAGAGAACTCTCTGATCGGCAGAATAACTGAAGTATGAAGGCCGTAAACACGCCGAGTCCTCAGGATAAAGACACCGTTCACCTGCAGCACACTCCTGTTGTTGAAAGATGTAAACAGTCTACTGGGCGTAACATCTTGTTAGCACATCATAAAAGGACAAGAGAAGTATTTCAAGGTTGGGGACTTAGCTTGAGATTAGTTTCAGGGAAATATTTAAATGATGAAGTTTGTCGAGCTCACACGAGGATGTACAAAAAGCCAGAAGAGCTTTATTTATCAAGGCTGCCCTTGAATTGTCTTAATGTTAAATCTGTTGGATCATTGGACTTCAGGATCAGTCATTTGGTCTAAATATTAAAGTACATGTGGTGACTTTCGGAGATATGCCCTCCTCCTGTTCCACTAATGAAACCCACGCAACTTCAGTGGACATATTTAATATGCAAATACTCAAAAAGCTTTGCTAAAATCCCTCCTGCACAGCAGCAGCTGTCCCGCTGTTTACCAGCATTAATCGCGCAGTGACAACACTGATTAGAGTTGTTTGTTCGGTCTGAGAGCTGATCTCTGTGTGGCAACTAGTCACGACTCACTGGTAAACTTCTCACCCTGTGATGGCTGTGGATGCCAGTTTCTGTTCTGTCTTTACATTATGTAGATTATGAGGTCGTGCAAAGCAAGCGCGAGTTTAGAATCAGAGCTGGATCAATGGGTCGACCAGGCCGATATATACCGGAAGATATTGTTACTGCAGGTATATAATATGAAGTGTCAGATATAAATATATACATTGGCCTCAATTATCCAGGATTGGTCGGGTTCCATTACATCTTGCCTGCAAGTACTGGATTTTGATGAATTAGTGAAAGCTTCCTCCCAGCTAGCAATTATTTTAAATGTCCAATTTGGCAAATAAATCACTGTCTATAAAATAAAAAAGTGAACAATTTCACAGATTTCAATGTGATGTCTTCAAAGTACTTGTTTTGTCAAACCGACAGTCAAATCGGCTCAATTTACAGAGACATAAATCAGCTAATTCTCACATTTGAGAGGCTGAAATAGACAAATGTTTGACATGTTACATGAACATGTGAAGTAGTGGATCTGTCCTCTCTCCTCAGTCTATCCAGCAGACCCGGACTACTACGGCCGCCCGGTGGTCCAGGACTTCCCCCAGTTTGACATCGTAGAGGACACCTACACCCCGTCCTCCACCACGGACTCCCGCAGGAACTCTCGATTCGGCGGCTTCCCGTTCCCGCTGGATCGCTGCGACCGCCGCGCCCCCCTGCCACCCTGCTACAGCAACCAGAACCTGGACGACTTCCTGGGCCCCGACGGGCTCCCTCTGCCCAGCTCCCAGTGCCCCAACGAGTACACCGCCATCAGCTACTACCCCACCCAGCACGCCCGCAGCATGGACAACGTGTCGGGGGGGCTACAAGAGGCTCAGCATGCGTCTGAGCGTGGCCATGCCGTCGTACGCAGAGCAGGCCGGCCTGCCGCCGCCAGCACCAGCACCATTGCCGAACACTGCCCAGCCTCAAACCAGACCGCCGGGGCCGAACCCGAACCCGCGCAGCTACGAAGGCTCCAGCATGGTGGAGAGCGATTACGGGAGCTGTGAGGAGGTGATGTTTTAAGACCAAGTTTAATTTCAGAGCCTACGTCCCTTTTTTTTGCGTCCTTTTCGGTGATTATTCACTTTAATTCATCTCGGGACCTAAACAGTGCGAGTACACGCCACTGTGACTCCATTCTAAGGCAGCTTTGTGTACAAGTACGCCTCTCAGATGGTCTCTCACTGTTCCCGAGATGAAAGCGCCGAGTGAAGAGTTTGGATGTCTTTCATTTGTGCGGCGTAGCCTCGCTGTGTCCGATTAGACGGGAGGTTATTCAGCACTCCTCGGAGAAAGTTCAGCAGAAGTTCATCGCTTTGACTGAGAGACGCCCGGTAAATTGTTAGGAGGTGTGAAACCCTGAAGAGTCTTATGCTGACTTGACTGTTTCAAAGTCAACATCTTTTAAGCCGACACGAGACAATCTCAGAAGAGCAGAGGACTCTGCTTTCCAAACATGTCCAAACAAACAACTGCCTTTTCACTTCTCAAACATCTGTCTACATCACGCCAGCAAACATCCACGCCAGCTCTGACGAACATAACAATAATTCTATATTCAGAAAGGCCTCTCTGATGAACTACTGATAAAGAGCTTTGATGAGGACTGTTGCGCTTGTATGAAAGGTAAACAGTGTTTATCACATTCTGCTGTGTGTTTGTGTTCAAAGCAAGAGAACACACACACAGAGAGGTTTATGTGTCTAATGTCGGCCCACCATTTCCAATCTAAAGGTATTAAAAAGTGACACGGAGCACATTTCATGCAGGATGAGCGTTGGCTTGGACTCTATAATCTGCTTACTGTCTGTTACAATGAAGGAGGCTGGATCCTCGTAAACAAGTGACAAAGTTCATGTTAGTGGTGACGTGGATGTATTCTAACTTTTGAGTGTTCCTCGTGTCAATACTGTCTCCGTTACCGTGGATTCTGTAGATTATGAATCTAAGCATCTCCCAGGTGGATTACAGTTTTATTTTGCAGTGTTTCTGCCCCCCCGATGACAAAGGGACCACTTAACGTGGGCAGTAAAGAAATGTCTCTGCAGCCATTTTAAATGGTGGAAATATGCAAAAGCCTCATGAAAGAAATGTTGTTTTGGTCAAAGAGCTTGTCAAAGAAAAGCTCAAAGCAATATATTTTACAAGCTGCTACTGAAATCACTCTGTCAGTGAACTCCCAACAGTTCTCCGTCATAAATACAAAAGCGTATTTATTTCACTTGTGTTTGTGTTTTTCAGTCCAAGCATTTTAAAGCAGTTTTGCAATCACGGATTTATTTTGTTTTCTTTAAGATCAGGTAAAGTGTTTATCGCAACCAACAGGTAATCTTAGCCAGGCTGTTATAATGGCCTAGATATACTCGCTAACCAACATTTCCATTTGAATGAGTTTGCTAGGTCAGTGTCGTCTCCACTTTATTCAGATTTTTTACTTATTTGTTAATTGTGAAATCTGAGAATGTGTCAGTAGCTTAAATGCCGTCGTTGGTAATTGTTGTTGTTGCTGTGGTTGAATGTACAACGTCGGTCCATCACTGGTGGTTTAACTGTGACTTCAGAGTACAGAAAGCCCTTTATAGTGTACAGATATTGTGTTGTACATACCATCTGTATCTGTGTGCAGTTGTTGTAGGTTGTTGTTTGTGCAGAACTTGGCTTCACTTGAATGTAAGTCACATTTGTTTTCATTCATAAAGTTTATTTTTTTATCAATGTGGGCCTCCCCCATGTTTCTCTGTTGTTTCTCTGTGAGAGATTTTATTAAGATTCCGTCTTTCTGTTTAGTTTTTTCAATATTGTAAAGAGAATATGAATAAAGGTATTATCTTCTATGAGCACCGATTGAAGAGATCAGACTTCTTGCTTCTGTCAAAACAGATGAGCTTTAAAAACAATAACACACACACACACACACACACACACACTCACACACACACCTGAGGGTTTCGTCACTGTCTGGAAAGAAATGAAAAAACGTTAAGCCTAATCCAGACAGGATTAGTTTTATCAAAGGACATCTTGGGTTATTTGTATTTGCTCATGGACATCAGTGATGTTAGTCGTGTGTAGACGGTAAAATCATTTTCAGGGTTCGTCTCAAACACGTCAACTGAGAAATTCACAGCCTGATCAATCAAGTTAAGATGACGACAACAGCAAGGAGCACTTCAATTTGACGTCACATCTGTGAAGATTATGACAGAAACGGTGCATTTAGCCATATTTTGTTGATTATGTTCCAATAGTTTGCGTTCTAAACGGTGACATTAGGAGGACACTTTATATTACATTTACTGTTTAGACCATGTATCAACGCAACGTAATTCAGATAGACGGGGTGGGAACAAACTACAACAGAATGAACTAAAGTGATGGTGTAGCATGTACAAAAACAAGTTATAGTATGTTGAAAGAAGTAATAAAAACGTCACAGTATCGTGTGTTGAAAAAGTAACAGTAAAGTATGTGGGGAAAGTATCGTGTTTCAAAAGAAGTAAAAAAACGAAAGTCAACAATAGTCTTATATTGATTACTGAATATGTAAAAAAGAAAAAGTAATAGTATAGTATGTCTACAAGTCATAGAAAAGTCATAATATACACGTATGTAAAAAAAGTCATAAAAATGTCATCGTATCGTATGTTGAAAACAGTCAGAGCAAAGCGGAATATGTGGCGTGATGCTACATTTGCACAAAGTAAATGAACAGACCATTCCAGTGTGTTTGGAGTTTTTTGCTGATATCTAGTTTTCTTTTGCTAAGTATCTCATAATGCACAATTACATAAAACTGAGGAAATGAGCTGAAGCTGCAGTGATCGTCTGCTTCCTTGCTGACTGGAGGACAGATGTTTGTTCATGAGAGACAGAGAATAAAAGAGATAAAGGCAGGACACACACAGCCACTGCTCGTGTCTGGCAGTCTGAGATTTTGTGAATACTTAAGGTGTGACAGAATGAAAGTAGCTTGTGTTTGTGTGAAACAGAGAAACACAAAGAGAGAAATGTGGGGCTCCTGAGATGAGGACGCGACAGTTGATGTGTCCGTGTGTTTCATTCCAACAGAAGAAGCTCTTATCTGACCCCGTCAGCAACTTTCTGCCACATCCTGACGCTCCATGATAAGGAGTGTGTGTTTAGAGGTACACAGCACACTGCGTTTCAAAGACCTTCCACCGCTCGAATTCATTGCCTGGAGGCCTGAAATAAATCATCAGACTGTGATGATATATATATCTGCTTTTTTGGTGAACCTACTTTCCCCGAAACTACTTCTTCTTCTCCATCAAACTTCTGCTTCAAGTTAGTGTAACTCATGTTTTCCAAAATTCCTTTGAGGAACACAACACCTCGTGCTCTCAAATTACTCCGGAGCACTAAAAGGTATTACAGGTACAAAGTGCCAATCTAACGCCGTTATTTTAACGGCGTTTTGGGGCTGGAAGGTTCGATGCAATCAGGACCCAATGCTAAAGGTACAAGATGGTCAAAAACATGAGACAGACAATTAGGTCCATGCAGGTATCTACTCAAACACACTTAGCCAGTTACCACGAAGCCCACACTGCCACTAACTGCACTCACTGAAGACATGTTATCACATTTCAGAAAGAAGCCGACGTAAGGGCTCTATAATATGTTTGAGGATATATATCCAGTATGTCGAACGGATTGAGCAGTGAAAACAGGTTAAACAAAGATAAAGGTAGAAGCTAAAGCCTACAGATCAGAATGTTAAAGTAATTGAGGAACACTGTTCCTGTAAAGCCAGGAAGGGGATTATTCACTGTAATCAATACAAACGTGCTTGAGGTACTCTGCTAATGTTAGCTCCACAGGTTGTTATGTAAAAATGTAACATTTTAGAGATGAATCTCCTTCCAACCACTTTGGGGTAACAACATTACACAACGTTTACACACACACACACACACACACACACAAAGACTCATAGCAAGTGTGTTATGCCAGTTCCTGTCTTAAAACCACAGCTGTGGAGACGGCTGACCTCTCCAAGTCAGCTGTCAATCACTCTTTTCCTCCCTGTCATTCATACACACACACACACACACACACACACACAACCTTGCTGGTGTCAGACAACAAAGGTGTTATTATTTCAGGTGATATTGTATTATATATTTGCCATGACACAATAAGAAGCAACAGATAGCATTCCGAGGTAAAGCAGTAAAGGGGTTTGATTCTTAGCTACAGTCTAATCTGAGACTAACATTTAACCAGCTTGAGTGTTTGTATGTCTATTCATTAACAACCGTTTATGGTACAAATGTTACCAAACATAGAGCATAAAAGTCAAGTTGTAAAAAACATGTCGCGTTAGTTTTGTGTCATTAGCCGCTCATCCCTCTGAATAAATCAGATGCATATTCAGAGGTGTTAGTTTTTAATCCCCCCCCAAACCCGGAGTTAAATCTTGACAGGTTGAGATGAGGATTAGAAAAGAAGAAAATATCCCATTTGTCATAATACCGACGCACCTGCATATCCACCAGTATTTATGACTTCAAGTTTTACTGCTATGGGGGGGGGGGGGGGGTTAACCTGTTACCAGATCAACTGCTATCTTGCTGGTCAAACTGCCTTAATCCTTGATCCAGATCACCACACAGCCAAAACCATCAAATCAGTGTTGAAATCCTGCTTTTAACTACTCAAGGGACTATCAGCCAAAACGTTTTAAACTCGTGTGTAGCATGAGCCTGTAACAGTCTGTTCATTCTTGGTTAGACTCTGGGTAAGCGGTCCACATTTCTGTTTTTCAAGCACGTCAGTAACTCCTCTGACTCACGTACTTTTCGACCGGGATCGTCAGCCTACAAATTAAGCATGAAAGTTCATTCTTGGAGATAATAACTTGACAAGACACTTTGTGCATAAGCTTTTCAATAGACCTGGTCCTGACAGTGTGCGGAGATGTTTGTTTTGCAAATGTTTGCAATGAATTTTTAGAAGGATTCTTGTAACATCTGCTAAATATATTTTAGACTTTT